GTGCCCGCCTCCGCCTCCGCGCCGGACCCCCTGCCGGGACTCCCTCTCCCGCGCCCAGCCTCTCCGCGGCTTCCCGGCCGCCCACAGCGGATCAGCCTCGCTCTCCCGCAACCCTCTTCCTCCCCCCGCCCCGCCCTCCAGTGGGTAGCCCCGACCCTGGCCCTCGGACGCCAGCCCTGCCGAGGATGCCCCTCTTTTCCCGCCACCGCCTCGCTCCCTGCGGGATCAGTTTAGCCTCCACAAGGGACACTCCAGAGACTGCGGCGTGCGTGAATTTTCTGGGGTACCCAGCCTAGGACTGGGATCGTTCGGCTGCCGGAAGCCTCCCGTCTCTAACTCGCTTGGGAACCTGTTCTCCCCGCGGTTGCCAGACTTGGGCAGCACCTGGAGCTCAGAAGAGACCCCCGGGCCCCTGCCCGACTCGGGTGGAGCTGAGGGCAGGGAAATCAGGGGATTCCTTCCACCCTCCAGGGGCTCGCCCGCCCTCTTTCCCTCCCATCTCCTTCGGCTTCTAGCCTCCTGGCTCCGACAATGGGCTCCTCTGTGCGGCCTGGGGAGGGCGGGGGCGGCGGTGGGGGGAATTAGGGAGCGGTGAAAGGCTTGGGGTGGGGGGTGGGGGTGACCGTCGTGACTGAAGAGGGGCCGGGTCTTAGGATCAGGATCCTCCTATAGGGGCGTGCACTTCGGCAGACGTTTTCTGAGTTCTTTACTCGCTGCCCCTTCCCCTCCGCACCGCGTGTCTCCATTTTCGGCTAGCGGAGGGAAGGCATCAGACCACCCCCGCAGCGCCCCCACCCCCGCCCCGGGTCAGACCCCATGATTCGAAACTGGATGCCAGACCCTTCCTTCTTATGGGGTGGCGATAGAGTCTCCCAGGGTCGCTAGGGCTCATGGCGGTGAGGATGGCTATCTGACGCAGAAGACAAAGCGGGGCAGGCTAGTTAAGAAAGTTCTAGTCTCACCCATCCTCCACCGCGTCTGGATGTGAAATGAAGCCCCGGCGAGGGTTTCCCCGGGAGGGCTCGGAGGCTTAGGCAGAGACGGGAGATGCCTTGTTCCTCCTCTGAGCAGGCACCGGGAAGCCCTGCAGGGGCTGGGGGTGGGGGGTGGCACTTCCAAAGGGTGAACATTTGAGAGGAGATCGGAAAGCCAGATAGTCCCCAGAGAGGGGCGTGTAGGCATGTGCCACTGCGGGTGGGGGCTGACGTTTGGAAAACATCCTGCCAGTGGGTGCAGCACCTGCGAGGCCAGGAGGCTGGGGCCCCTTGGCAATCGTTAGCCCCGCGGGAGAGGAGGGCGTCGCCTAGGTGATGGGCTCCTCTGTCACCTCCTCAGAACGCTAAACGCCACCCTTTCTCCACTCCACTGGGTCTGGAAAAGAAGAGAGAGAAAATGCTCATCCTTCTTGGAGACAGGAAGATCCCTCTGCTCCATAGTGTCAAAGAAAAAAAAAAAATCTAGGGCGGCCAAGTCCAGTGACCATGTTCTCAGCAGAGTTAGAGGCAGGGAGCTGGAACTCTTTTTCATCAATGGGCTATGGGCCCTGGAGTCACTGAGGCTCTCTAGCCTCCTTGTAATTAGTGCTGGGGACCTGGGAGAGTGAGATTTTGCTACCCCCTGGTGTCCACTCTATAAATGCTGCCCAGAAGCTGGTTACAGAGGCCAGCACTTAGGAAACTTTCATAGAGGATATGTTATGACTCTTACTCACTTGTTTCAAATCCAGCTAACCCATTTCAAGTGTTGAGAGAGTCTGAACTTTCCCTTACTGGGTCTTACATTCCTTATACTCAAGCAAATTGTTTGGGAAACAGTTGGTAGAATCCAAGGTTCCTATAATTAGGAAGTGGAATATAAATTGAGCTGGCTCCAGGAGTCCATGAACTCCTGGAAAAAAAAGGAGTGGATCGTTTTTTTTTTTTTTTTTTTCCTATGGAGAAATGGGAACCATTGAAAGTTTTTGAACCTGTAGGGGGATGGAGTTTGGATGCAAGGTCTGGGATCCAGTTACTCCTTTTCAGGAGTCGTTTTAATTTGTACTAAGTGAGAAAGGTTTATTAAGTAAAGTGACATGTATACTTATAATGGTTAAATACCCTCTCTCCCAGAATGCAGGCTCTTACCTAAGAGTGTGTGTGTGTCTGTTCAATAGATTGTATGTTGATGAGTGTGTTTTGGGGAGATGTGAAGGGGAGAGATTATAGGGGAGGAATTGGAGCTTGGGAACAGCCCAGGCTTAGAAGCCTTCTCTTGCATTCACAAACCGGCCTCACCATAGTTCACCGATTTCAGAGTCTTTGGAGCTTGCCAAACTCCCATTTTACAGATGAAATTCTGACTTATTGAAGTTAAGTAACTTGCTGGAAGCTACACAGTAAGTAGAAAAGCCAGGATTTGAGCCCAGGCAGGCAGTCTGACTCCAGAGCCTTCACTCTCGACTACTAAGTTACAGGGTTTCATCTAAGCTGTCAGAGTCCATAAAAGAAGCACTTTGAACACTACCTCACCTTTTCTACCACCTAACCATCATGTTAAAAAGTGTTTATTTTTGTAACAGCCAGTGCTGAAAGAGTTTCTAAAAGTGACAGATATGTCCCCGTGGGTCCGAGAATAAAAATCTTTTTTTTCTAGACTTGTTCTAGAATAAGTAATAGTTAAAATAATCCCCAAGAAATTTCCAATATGGTTTTGCTAGGGAAAGAGTGTTATCCAAACACGAGAGAAGGTGGGTGGAAGAAACATTTGGATCTGTAATGTTTTTTACCTGGTTTCTGTGCACCAAGAGATGCAATTGCTATTCCATGTAGGGTTGGGGCTGTAGGCTGCTCACTATTTGTCCACTTGGAGCATAGCAGTGACCAGGACCCCGCTTTGGTCCCATGCCTCAAGGCAAGGGGAATTAATGAAGGACCACAAAGGAGAGTTTTAGAGACAGGAAGGGATGGACTTGAGAGAACGTGTTCTTGTTACCTGTGTCTTCCAAGGAAACTGGGGCCAAAGCCTTAGTTATTTATAGGATAAGAAATCTGTGCAGTATTATATAGTAATATATGTTAATTCTATTTTTTGTTGAATCCCCCCCTTAGTTTTGGCTTTATTTTATTGGTAATCTTCCTTTAAAAGTGTTCAGTTGTTATCTGAGCTACGTGTCATCAGAGTCCACACTGCCACCACCGTCTTGCCTGTGGTGGTGTATGAGTTTCCGTACTGGTTTCTCTACTCTACTCTTACCTCCTAAGAAGCTGCACCCTCCCCAGAGAAATCTTCTAAAAACTCCAGTCAGGGGTGCCTGGGTAGCTCAGTCGGTTGAGAGTCTGACTCTTGATTTCGGCTCAGGTCATGATCTCAGGGTCATGGGATCGAGCCCCGCGTTGGGCTCCGCGCTCAGTGGGGAGTCTGCCTGAGGGTCTCTCTCCCTTTCTCTCTCCCTCTGCCCCTCCTCTCGCACCTGTGCTCTCGTTTTCTAAAAATAAATAAGTAAATCTTAAAACAGCCACGACAAACTCCAGTCAGATCCCCTGCCTATCTCTCCAGCCCGTTCCCTCAGCCCCCCCCTTAGGCGGAAGCCACTACCGACCTTCTTTCAGTTCTTTAAGCATACCTTGCTTATTCCTAATTTGGGGACTTCTTCTCTTTTCCTTCCACCTGGATGCTCCCTTTCACAATTCTAAGGGCTGACTCTCATCCTTCGGGATTTTACTAAAGTGTTGTATTTTCAAATGTCTTCCATGACCACCTGATCTAAAGTGGTCTCTCACCCATCGTCCCTCCTAATGATGTTATTTTGTTTTGTTGTCTTCATAGATTTATCTCTATTTGATTATGTACTTGTTTAGTTATGTCCTGTCTCTCATAATAGGCCCGCCCACGCCACCATATGTCATTTGAAAATAAGCTCCATGAAGATGAGGACCTTTGTCTATTTCATCACTGCTGTATCCTAGATAATGTCTGACCAGGTCCCAAAAGATATCCCTAATCCAGCTGAAAACTGTAAAGGAAGCAGAAACCCCCATAGAACAGGAACAGTGGTGGGAAGAAGTGAGAGGTGGAAACTAGGAGCAAGTGGGGCCCAATGCCTGGGGTCTGCTGCTTAGCTTTGCTTTCTTCCTGGACTTAGCCCTCACAAGTTCTTTGGTTGTGGTTGATATTTGCATGTGGAAAATACACAGGACAGAATTAAAACCAAGTGTGGGGTGCAGCCACTGTGGAACACAGTATGGAGGTCCAGTTAAGAATAGAATTACCATATGATCCAGCAATTCCATTTCTGGGTATTTCTTTGAAGAAAACAAAAACACAAATTCGAAAAGATATCTGTGCCCCTACGTTCATTGTAGTGTTATTTACAAGAGCCAGGGTATAGAAACAACCTAAGGGTCCATCAAATGCACAAATGAATAAAGAAAACGTGGCATG